CCCACCCTCCCTAAACCCCCCCAAAACTCACAAGGCTCCTAATACACTTAAAGCAGCCTCAGCTCCGGACTGGACAAAAGGAGGGGTTCCCACATTTCCCACAGGATCCCCTGATAGATGTTTATGTGGAAAATATGAAAATGTAGAACAAGTTAAAGAAAAACCAAAAGCAGCTTTTGGAGTTTTATACCCTTTATTTTGGATGGACGACTGCTTTTGGGTGGAGGCACAAATTTGTTAGCGTCCAGCCTTCAGACACACAGCAACAACCGTTTTTAACCGTTTACATATAGTGCTTTAAATGGTCACCCAAATGTTCTGGTAAGCCTTTTGTTCCCGTCTCAATGCAAAACACAAAAGAGGCGCCATGGAAACATGCACCACTTCTCTATGCCCTGGATGACCTTATTACACGCACACACACACACACGCAAACACACACATACAGACCCATCGCACAGAGCTATGCTGAAATGACAATATAGCTTCAGCTGAGGAAGAAAATGAGGATATATATTGTAATGAAGGTGTTAAAATATAGTTTGGACTAAAAACACTGCATCCAATAGACATCTTCCACGGTTCACGTCCGCCGTGACCCCCCCTACTCTACACACAATTGTTAAGAAGGCCGGAAAATACACAGAGCAGCAGAACAAATTCTCAAACAGGCAGCGATGCCCCCCCCCCCCGTCGCTAAGCCCCTGAAGGTTACAGCTCCGAGCACACGGCTGAGCAGAATTTTACATTCATAAATACATAGCAAGCCCAGAAAGTTTAAAAGTTGAAAAACATTTGTAAAAATCTCCCATCAACTTCCTATGAGTTTATGACTCCATGACAGGACCCACGGGAACCAATCAGAAGGCAAAATATGCTGAAAATGATCAAACAATCTGTACATGAGTGTTAACTCTGTTTTCTAATCAGCATCGGGCGACTGTTCAGGCGCCATGAGATTCAAATAAATCATGTCGGGGACCTTTTGAAGCAGCTAATCTTTATAACAAATTGGAATGTGTTTTCGGGATTTTCTCATAGATTTCCCATTAGTTCTGGTCTGTCCGGGGGGGAAAAAATGCTTAATTCATCAAACTCAAATAAGGCCATTTTAATCACATCTGACTTTTGAACAAATAGCAAAGCACCTCCGAGTTTGCCGAGGGAATTTCTACTGTTAAAAAACGCAGTGAGACACACGACGACAAAGCACGTCTCCCAAAACATTCGGACGAAAACAGGCATACGAAAACTCCCCACTACTACCACCAAACCCAAACCAAAACACAAACACAGTATATTTACAACTTCAAGTCCACTGTTAAATACCGATAAACAATCCCTTTCCCCAATCAAAAAGAGTCCTCTGTAGTGTTTACAGGTGAGTGAGGGTCCTGGATTCCCGCCGGTTGGTCCCGGGGGACCCGCGCTCTGCCGGACACAGCCGGGCTCTGCGGTGAAGAGTACGAGGAGACGAAACATCCACAAGATGGCACCAGCAAGTGCGAAGACGACAGAAACCAAGCCGACGGTCCCGGGCAGATTCCCGAATATCCGAGAGAGTTCACAGCCGTGTTGGTCTGAGAGGAAGACCGCCGGCGGCTGCCCGTCCCGTCCTCTGGCCACGCCATCTCCGGGCGCCGCAGCACCTTCAGCACCGGCCCAACGGAGGCAAGCGGAGGGCCGCCGGCAGGCTACGATATCTTACAGTTCCCCTTGGAGGAGGAGGAGGAGGAGGAGGAGGAGTACTTGGGAGGACTCTGCGGGGGCCTGAAGGACTTGGAGCGCCGGAGGCTGTTGGCTTTGCTGCCGCCGCCGCCGCCGGACGCCGTGCTGTTGGCCACCGAGTACGAGCGTCCGTGCATCATGACGGCGTTCATGCCGTTGGCCATGGAGAAAGACTTCAGGTGGGACTTGATGGCCACGGGCAGGGGCAGCTTATCGATGAGGTGCACCGGCGTGCAGGAGACGATGGAGCGGCAACACAGGTCCTGGAGGCTGAAGACTGCAGAAAAAAATAATTAAATAAGAAAAAATACTTTTTTAAAAAAAGATGTTTATGCTTCAGGTATATTCGGGTTTTCATTTTGCCTCCAAAAATCCACCAAAATTGTATTTGCCAACTGTATTTCAAAGTCTAAAACTTTGAAATACTCAGAAATAAAAAAGGCAACTTTAAACCCAATCATATTACCATTTTGTTTAATTTTCACCAAAGTGTAGTTTTTAATAAAGAAAAAACAATAATTGAGTTGGTAGGAAGAAATAGATAAGAGGCTCACCTCTGTTAGGCCTCCAGAACTTCTCCATCCCATGCCGCATCAGCACGATGCGCGACAGCTCCGTAAAAGATTCGATTACGTTGAAGTTGCAGAGAGGGCTGACCTCAAAGAAAGTCATGCTGTTTTTTTCGGCGTAGGCCCTCGCCTGCTCCGTCGGCACCTGCCGCTTGAAGGCCAGGTGGAGGCGGTTTCCCACGAGGATCCTGGGCACGCCTGGAGCATGCTGAGGGAAATAACGCAAACCAAACCTCAGAAAACCTTTTCAAAATGCCATTTTACCATGTACATTACAAACATTTCCTTTATCAATTCAATCAGGAATGGGTCATGGGGGGGGTTACCTCATCAATTTCCCGGATCCATCGATCAATCCCATCAAAAGACCAACCGTTAGTGATGTCATAGACGAGGAGGATGCCCTGTGAGACAAACACGCCAGCAAATTAAATACATTCACAACACGGCATCAGATCACAATCTATAAGCGTCTCACATTATGCCCCAAAAACTGCAAACCCTCACTGGGATGCTTAAAGAAAGGCCCTGGTGTATGGAGCTAAAATCTGTGATCTCATTGAAAATAATAAACCAAAAAACAGTTCGTCAGACCTTTTGAGCTCATGAATAAATGTTCTACTTTTCAACCTTAAGGATCACAGGCAAACAACGTAAATAAAATAAGCATTATGCAGCTATCATAAATAACTAAATCAACATCATTATACACAAAATTACTACATCGCCTTACAGTAAAAGTTACTGTAAAGGTTCCATATAAACTGTATTTTATAGATTGTATCAATTTATAGTTATAAATCACAACAGAATAATTTAGGTTGTACTTCTATGTGTATGTACAAAACCCCTGAAGAAAAAGCACGTTTCTGTATTAGAAGGCGGGCTCTGTATTTTATATTAAAACAATAACAAAGGAGTTAATACAGCTCAGTATCAGTCGATGCTACAGAATTCCCTCCTAAAAAAATTACCTGTGCTCCACGTGAATAAGACCTGAAGATAGTGCAAAATCTTCCCTGTCCTGAGGTGTCCCTGTAACAGACACAAAAACATATAAGAATACTTATTGTTAACCAGTGAAAAGACTAGTAGAATGATTCAACATTTTGTTGTCAAAGACTCACCATAACTCTAATTTTACTCTTCTACCATCCAGAAGAATAGTTGTGGTCTTATAATCGATCCCTGAGGTACACAGGGTAAAAAGCAAGAGAGTTAAACATGGCCAATCTCAGATTATCATTAAAATGAACAGAAATGCAACATTTACCACTGCTGTAGGCGTAGGGGGACTCCACTGATCCGTCCTGCAAACTGTCCAAGATTTCACCCTTCCCAACATCGCTGTCTCCCACCAGAAGGAACTTCAGGAGATAATCATAACTCTTGACAGGGCTGCTCTGAGTTCCCATCATCCCACGCATTGGACCCGGTTCAGGGAGAGCTTTTTAAAGCTCACCAGACGTTTACAGCTCGGGAAAAAGGGACAAACCAGAGAGTCCCGACAGAATCGGCGAAAGCAAGAAGATCTGACGTTGTCGTTGGCTAACCGGTTAGCTAGAAAATTCCTTTAAATGTTTGTGCAAAAACGTTCTGTTTACTGTGCTAACGCAAGTTAAATATACAACGAGATATACTAAGGAAAACATCTATTGTATTGTTCTAGCATTAGAACCGAGCTCGAAACAGCGTCTGTCCTACGAAGGATCAAAACAACCTCCGATGCTAACTCGCACGTTAGCTAGCCAGCAAACAAAAGGAATATCGTTGCATTCTATGACAAAAATAGGAGTTAAAAACAAAAAATATCATTCAATACTATATATAAAAATATTTTACCGCATCATGTAAGATATTTTTCACTTCGATAATAAAGAAAATACCAAAAAGGGACAATCAGCGCCTGACCACCGCGTACATCCCAGTCTACTGTGTTGGAAGTTCCGGTTAGTGATGTCATGAGATACGTAACATCCGGTCTTAAAAAAACAAAAAGATGGATCAGTTTATCTATTTTTATTATTCACTTATTTGTTTTTTGTTCTTTCATGTTCCATGTTAAATTACTAAATTGGAAGTATAAAGGCAAATAATCAATACAATTTACAAATGTCTTTCTTTGAACAGCAGCTTTATTCACCTGTCATTCGTTTTTTGTCAATAGCATCTGTCGCAGCTGTGTCACTTCCGTCTTAATTAGTGTGAAGGAAGGCCCAGAATAATCCTTTCAGAGACAGATGCTGGTGTAAAAATGGTGCCAATGAACACTGGGCAGATAATTATACTGTTTTGCTCTGCCTGCTGTGGTGTGCTTGTGAAGGAACCTGCACCAGAGTGGGAGAGAGTGAAGACTGTGCCTAAAGCCGAACCTTTGAGTGGATCAAGTAATAGGTCCTCAGTTGCAGGAGCAAAGAAGTTTCCCAGTTATCTTGTAGTGTCATCGACCGATGATCACAAAGAGGATTTGAGGCCAGAAAAAAGCTCCAGAGATATGCCTCAATGGCTACAGAAAGTGCTAATGGGCTCTCCTTCAACTTTTCCCAGAGCTGGATTCGTTACACACAAACCAGGCTCGGTTGGACTGCAGTGTCATTTTGACAAAATAATTGTCAAAATTGAGAAGGATGTTTTTAAATCTGAGGATGCATTCAAGTATTTGAAACTAGGGACTTGTCCTGTTACTCATGGAAACAAAGACTACTACTTCCTGATGCACTCTTTGAAATCAAACTGTGGATTCAAAGTGAAGGTTTGTAAAGAAGAAAATTCTGTTCTGGGGGTGACTGGGGGGTAAAATTATCCAGAAATGTTTGTTTTTCTAGAGTTTGCCAGATTATTTGTCCATTGGTACAACTCTCCACTACAAGCCAACCAGTCCTGTTCTGAGAGACATGCCATTTGATATTCTTCTGCAATGTAGATATCCCAGGTAAACCTTTGTAGAATACAAGTTCTTTATGGCCAAAAGATTTAATCATTGCATGTGTATTTGTCTTAAAATCATGACTCCAAAGAACATGTTCTAACTGTTGCAGATGGTTTTACTCCTACAAAGTTGGATACCGTCCTCAACTACAGGGTGGAACAATTTACAAAGCACTCCAGCCAAAAAGCCGTTTAAGCATTTCCCCTCAAGTTGGTATGACTTTCAGATTTGATTTAACACTTATCCACTTTCTAGTATTTATATTATGATATTCAGAGCTTCTGACATCTTTTCAGCACATTTGTTTTCTCAAAGGTTGCTTTAAAATCTCTGATATATCAGAAGTTAGAAAACTTTAAAAGATATCCCAAATTGCAGCAACACCCAATCTAATGTGGCCTGAAACATGAAAGACAGAAGAAGAGTCAAGACCTTGTATTTTTTCTGTGGTAGAATCTGAAAAACGTGCCAAAAATGTGAACAAACAGTGTAATCTACCAAGTGGGTGTTCATTTTCATGGTCCAGCTTATGCAAGTATTTGAACCAGTTAGACAAGCTTTAGTTTGGACATCATGTAAGAAAACAAATATGGTTGCTGACTTATCCAAAGCATGTTTTTTCAGAACCTTGCCATAGATGGGCATAATATTCAAATTACATGAACAAATTACTCTGGCATAAAAAAGAGCTGGATTTCATATTTCTTGAATCTTAGAAACTGGGATTAGAAAAACTTTTCTCAGACACATGCAATTTATCTTCATAACTCATCAAATGTGCAGGAGAAAAATATTTTATTGCCCTGATACTTCTGATTCCCTTCTACAGGATCAGGGAAAGCAATCCCCCGAAGCAAAACCTACAACTTAGGACAGCCAATATGTTTCGAGGCCAGTGTCCCTGAACAAACTGTGGACGCTGATGATCGGAGGATTTACATCAAAAAGTGTTTTGTGACTTCCTCCCAAGACCCCAACTCACATCCCAAATATTCAGTCATTGACAACCAGGGGTAACATTAACATTTTTATTTTATTTTTTTGTTTTAAGTTGCATTTCCTGAGCAGGAATGTTAATTTTCTCTCTAAATGCAGCTGTATGATTGATGGAAAGAAGACATTGCAGTCAAAGTTCCTCGCTGGTGGCTCAAAGATGGTCCAAAAATTCTGTTTGGGCACCTTCCTTTTCAATGACAGTGTCTCTACCATCTCATCACAGGTACAATCAGTGAGTGACAAACATATAAATGACAAGGAAATGTATAAGGTGAAACCAAATAACAATTCCTTTCAGCAACTCCACATCCACTGTGAGATGTCTGTGGGTCCGCTCTCTCCAAGTTCACATCTGAAAGCTTGCAATTATGATCATGTGACAAAAAAGTGAGTTTGAATGTGCAAAACTCTCTTCTAATATTTTTTTTCTCTGTGCTAGATGACCATATTCAGCTTCATTTGGTTTTTGACCTTTTTTTATATTCTAGGTGGAAGGAGCTCTACGGTACAGACCATGTTTGCGCCTGCTGTGAATCTACATGCTCATCAGCAAAAGGTAAAAGCTTAAATACTCTTTGTCTAAATACAAAGATGATAAATCTATAAAAAAAATTCAACACCTTTACGGATGTTTGTCTCTACTGGCACAAGCCTTAACACTGATAGGAATGTTATATACAGAAAATACTAGTAGAAATCAAAGTGACAATCTCCTTTTAAATAAGATATTTTACAGATTCAGAAAATAATCTAATGAACAGAATGACATCTGGAATTTAAAATGTCCTCTTTCAGCAGAGTCCCAGAAACTCGTGTCTGGTCGGACTTGGAGGGTCGACTCTAGCTGTGAAGAAGTTAAGGAGGATGGCCCTCAGATGAAATCTTCTCACACTGGGAAGTAGAGCCCGGAAGACCCCAGTATGGAAGAGCAAACAGATGGTCTAAGAGACTGAAAGACCACCATGTTGCAACAGTTGGTGATTTTTTTCAATAAACATTTGCTTTGTTTTTTGGGGTCTTCTTTATTGCACAACATGCCATTATGTCAACTAAGGGCCCCATCTTACCATAAACACTTCTCATGTAAAGTAAAACTTCTAAACAATACTCTGTCAGAAACATATATCAACACCTGGTACTTTTTGTCTTTTTAATTCTGAGCAACGTATTCGTCTATCAGCATGTGTGCATTTCTGCGCATTTCCTCAAAATGCATGACAGCATTTTTGTATATACAATCATGCACCACAAGGGGATGGAAGAGGTTTACTGGTTTTGCTCTGGAGAACTCAGTGGGCAGTCCAATAACCTCAGTTAAAGGGTTGCCAATGAGAACATGGTTCAGAACCTTTTTCTCTAGGCTTTTCTGCATGAAGGTCAGCAGGTCTCGTAGCCTAAGGGTCACTTGGTCTGGTCCCCACGCTGCTGGTTTGTTGGTCAGAAGCAGAAGGTGCATTAGCGCAGCTCTGAAGTGGAAATCTTTCAGAGCTGTACTTCCTGATAAAATCGTCTGCCTCTTGTGCAGGAAACATGCAATCTCAAGAGTCTGATTGTGGCAAGAGTCTTTAGGAAGGCGTTTGGAGAGATGTTGAAAGAATCTGTCTTCGTATGTGGTCAGTGAGAGTGTCCAGAAAGTATCCAAATCCTTGGAGGACCAGGGCGTGATGAAAAAATGAGCATCTGTGTTGAATTTAACCACTGGATTCATACTGAAGTTGATCTTTTTCCCTGATCTGAATCGAATCACCAGAGCGCCCGGAGCCTCGACGTAGCGGATGCCGAGCTCAAATTCATACTTATGTGAAATCAGTGCCCATGCTTGTTTCAGAGTCCTATTAAACCATCTGGTTACCTGGGTTTTTGACAGGAGAGAAGTGCTCTTTGAACACAATAGACCATTATTAACATCTACTTTTTTTGTCTTCACCGTCTCATTCTCAGTATGCAGCAAACAAACCATATCATCATTGGCCTCAGAGGACTGGCAGTGGCAGCCATTTTGAATTTTCTTGCATTCCACCAGTTTTAATTGACCACAAACGTGCGTGTCCAACAATGGGTCACTCACTTGGTTGTTCCAGAGCAGAGACTGGAATTCGTAAGGCTCAGGTGGAGTAAAATCAACAACAATATCACACGGATTCACCATCTGAAAGTCCTTAATCACCATGCCGCCATCTTTGTCGCAGATATTCCTCATGGCCTCCAAAAGGTCATTTGCAAATCCCTCTAAAAATACATCCTCCCTCAGCTTCTTCTCTTTCAAAACTTTAACACATTTAGCATGAAAGTGGTGCAGAGTATGGGCGTCAGGCAGAGAAACCTCATCAGCAACACTGTCCCCAGGAAAGGCCTTCAGGTCTCTTTTCTCCTGGGAATTTTTAATGAGGTATTTCCAAAAGAAGCGAATCATTGAAAAGATGGAGAATGTATTCCAAATGTACCAGAGGTAATCCTTCTCCCACTCTGCTATGGCGTTCTTTGAAGTTTCAGTCTCTCTGTTTGTGTGAACGTGTGAAAAAAGTGTTTCTCGTTCTTCAGGGCTGAGTTCTTCCTTCTTTGGCATCGTGTGTTCACCCTGTGGGGTAAACACTTTGCTAAAACTATCAGTTAGGATGTCTTCTCCCCTCTGCTCATGAGTGATTTGTGAAGTTTTCATTGCAGGTTGAGGCTCGTTGTGTCTTTCCTGCTGACTTGGACCTGCATTATCAATGAAACGTCCCTCTGGTGATTCGTGCTCAGCACTGTTTTGTTCACTGACAGTCGCATTTCGGTCTGACATTTCATCTTCTCTGAAGACGTCTGGTCCGGGCCGTTTCTGATCCACAGGAAGATGATTTGTGTCCTCTTCAAACGCTTTGTCAGATTGTGACATTTTCTCTTGGACAGGTGCCATCCCTTGGTGCAGTTTCTCTTCTCCTCTCCGGAGCCTTTCCTCATGCTTTTCCAAAGTCACGGCGAGGATGTCATCCCATTCCTCAACCTCCGGATCGTCTCTCGGACACATCAGCAAACCAAGAGCCACCACAAACACTCGCAGCAGGGTTTCTTGCATCATAAATACTGTCAAAGCATTAAGAAATGGGGTGGAGAAGTTCATTTCAAAGATAAATGTTAATAACAAAAACAACTGAATAAAACATCTTGGACTTACACAAGAATATTTGATTAAAATTATGATGCAATGACACTGAGAGTGAAGTGACTTCTTCAACTTTCTGAAAGAATTACAGTTTCTTTTACCAGAACATTAAGCATCATTACATATTGCACAAAACAGAAAAGGATAAATAGAAGGGTACGCACCTCAAAAAGAGATGAATTGTCTTGGTAATAATGTGCTTCGGTGAAATCGGAATAGTTTTAGGAAGGAAAGCACAACCTTGCACGGCCACAGACTCTGATCTCTTCCTATTTTAGATGTAGGTTGTGACTTCCTGTGCACCCTGCCCATGTGCTCTGCTGTGACACTTTCCTGTGCAGAATTCAGAAGCAAAAACGTTGAGGTGACTTCCTGAAATTTGAACTGTACAGTCATAAAGGTCCGTGTCAGCGAAGCTATTCTACTGAAACAGCGCAACGCCGTGACAAAGAAAACCATCTTCCAGGCATGTTTTTGTTCAAACAAACTGTGTAGTAATCGGTCTTCTTCATAAATGGATGGATTAACCCATCTTTTATCCTCTTGTGGGTTTCTAACTGGTTCGTCCAGCTACGTTTCATTCTGTGTATCCAGGTGTGTTCAAAGGACTTTTGCTAAATAAACTAATCCTTTAAAGACTTGCCAAAAGTCACATTTTGCATAGGTCATTGTGCCTTACTTGATTTATATCAATCAAAGCAGGTGGGAAGGATTCACCCTTCACCTAGCTGATGCAAACCAAACTCTGAGGCCACCCCACCAGAATTTGAATGCTTCCCAACCTTTTTTGCATGTCTGAAGTGGTAGAACTACATATGAACAACAAAGTGCCCTACATCTTGTAACACCATTGCAACTCAGGAGCCCAATCAAAGAGAATAAACACATTGTTATGGACTGCAAAAGGAAAGATTGGACATTGTAACTGTGTTTTTTGAGCCTATAGTACATTTACCTTTAAGAAAAAGCAGCCTGAACGGGAACCTTTTGTAACATCACTGAAGTGCAGGTGCCTGTAAAGGGAGGGGCATGATGACTGATGCCCGGCTCGGTTTGGAACATCACCGCAAAGTTCGAGAATCTTTTTCCAGTCGTGAGAGAAACAGTGTTTGCGGCGATTACACGAAACTGCGTGCTATTCTCTATGGATCATATCATAAGGTGACTTTTAACCATTTTTTTCTTCATTTATCTACTCATCCGAGCCTGAGTACAAAGGTAAGAGTGTCGTGTTACTTTCTGATCAATCTTTACAAATTTTACTATCAGTATATTGAGTTAAACCTTTGCCTGCCTGAGAGTTGGCTAAGAAAAGCTTCCTTTATCTAATAAGACACACTTCAATAAATGTTGACAATGGATAATTGATAATTGTTGGTTAACCTTTTTTTTTTAAAGACCTGCTTTCATAGTCTTTTTACTATGGAGATTATCATCTTTTTTTTAAATGATAAAATAGTTACATAACACTTACTCATCCCAGATAAAAGTTTTCATTGAAACTAAGAAGTCTGATCATATTTAGCTCAGTAGTACACATTTTTGGGTAGAATGTTATCACATTATAAATTATTAGTAAAGACATTCCTTTAAATTCCCTCTAGGTTCCTTTTAGAAAGTGTTTCCCACTGTGTGGTTCTTTTAACTAAAGGCTTTACAGCATTGTGTTTCCTCGTTGTTTGTACAGTTGGGCAGGAATTAGCCCGCTGTGCAGTCTTTTCTTCTTCCTTCATGCTTCATTACACTTTCTTTTCACAGATTTAACTTCATTTGAATCGAAGGTCCAGCGAATCTCACAAGATGGATAAGTTTCGTATGATGTTCCAGTTCCTCCAATCCAACCAGGAGTCTTTTATGAATGGGATCTGTGGTATCATGGCACTGGCCAGTGCTCAGATGTACTCTGCCTTTGAGTTCAGCTGCCCCTGCATGCCAGAGTACAACTACACCTACGGGATAGGGCTGCTTATTGTCCCTCCCATATGGTTCTTTTTGTTAGGCTTTGTATTGAACAATAATGTCTCAGTGCTCGCTGAGGAGTGGAAAAGGCCCACCGGGATGAGGACCAAGGATCCCACCGTGCTGCGCTACATGTTTTGTTCCATCACGCAGAGATCTTTGATCGCGCCCGCGGTGTGGGTGTCCGTCACCCTCATGGACGGGAAGAGTTTCCTGTGTGCCTTCAGCGTCAGCTTGGACATCGACAAGTTCGCGAATCACAGTCTGGTGTCCGGGATGTCGGAGGCAGAGAAACTGAAACTGCTGGCAAGGATTCCCTGCAAAGACCTGTTTGGGAACCCTGAAGTACGAGTGGCTGCGTCAAGATACATCAAATGCATATCGCAGGTACCCCGACCTCTCTCTGTTTCTCTGAACTGTTTAATGGTTTTCTGTGGAAACTGATGACATCACAACGGATGTAAACCTGGGTTTGGTTTGCAGATGTGACAGTATTCTTTCATTTATTCATTTTCAATTGTAGTTCTCTCTCCTGAAGAGCCCAACAGAAATTTATGGTGAATTCTATATCAAATTTGTGGTTGAATAAAACCGGCAAACTCCCAACAAGTAGAAATAATTGCATTGTTTTATCTTCTATTCTCTCCCAATGAATCACCTCACAATTCCCCAGTTTTGCTGTTGAATAAAACTGTGTATAAAGTGTACCAGGTAGGTCAAGACTCTCCCTCCAGCTGACATCAGTGACATGTTGCCGCCTTAAATCAAACATCAAGGGAGGCTGTGTCATTCCAAAGACTGACACCTCAGAATGTAGAAAAAAAGGCAATATTTCTCCTCCTATGTCTGTACCTTTATCTTATCTTTTACTCAGATCACTGCTGGGATTTGCAGAATCAGAAGGCTTCTTCCATCTGTACTTTTAGTCTCTATATATAGATGTCAGACAACAATACATAGCGTGGTACCATAAGTAATTAAAAGTCTCCAAAAAGCAGTGTGTAAAAAAAGTCCATATCCTGAAGTAACTGTTTTTTGTGGTGCTGCTTCAGCTTATTGATGTTTGCTGTGTTATTTTTGCACAGCCGCTCTGGGATCCCTGCACAGCGTTTCAGTCAGGTTGAGGTCTGGACTTTGGCTGGATGGCTGCAACACTTTTGATTCCTGTCTTTTTCAGACGTTCGGTTATAGATTTCCTGCTGCGTTTGAGATCGCTGACCTGTTGCAAGGCCCAGTTTCTTTAGCTGTCAGACAGACAGCCTCACAATTGAATTTAGAATAGATCATTACCGATTAAATCATTAGAAAACGCGACTTCCCGGGGTATTGGGAACACGTGCAGGCAACAATGGCATCAGCAAAGGGTAATGCTTGCATTGTGAAGAGGGTATTTCTGGCTTGCTTTTGATCTATTTATGACTACTTTCAATGTAACCAGAAAATAGAAAACGACATGAAAAAAAAAAACTTTATTGAAATCATGCCTTTCAATTCGATGTCAAAATGTCTAAACCCGGGTGATTTAGGAAAGTTGTCCATCGTACGTGGACGTTCAGGCTTTTTTTTTTTTGCATCATCATGCTGGATGAAGTGTTTGTTCTCCTGTGCTGTTTGGTTTTCTCAGAAAATGCTCACGTGGACATTGTTTCAGAATCAGTTATGCTGTCGTGCTTGTTTTTAGAGAGAATAGGCTTTCTCCTTTAACTGTCCCGAGGACAAATTTCAGTCCCCCCCCCAAAAAAAAAACTCCCTGGCTGTTGTTTAGGTCTGCGAGGAGCCTGAGGGCTGTCACCTACAGTCAAAGGGAGCCTGTCAGGAAGCCGCCCAGTCGGTTTTCCTCGTCTGACAAGACGATTTCCGCTTGATCACGGACAGACTCAAGAGTAGCAAGATGTCAAAGCAACTTTTCGCTTTTTCAATTTCACACTCTCCATGTTTCCTTCGTGCAAAGTACTAACGTCTGTCTTTCGTGTTCCAGGCGTGTGGATGGATGTTTTTGCTCTTGATGACATTCATAGCCTTTCTGATCAGAGCCATCCGACCGTGCTTCACTCAGGCCGCCTTCCTCAAAACCAAGTACTGGTCCCACTACATTGACATCGAGCGCAAGATGTTCGACGAGACGTGCAAGGAGCACGCCAAGAGCTTCGCCAAAGTCTGCATCCAGCAGTACTTTGAGAACGTCAGCGGGGAGATGCGGAACTACCACCACCGGCGCTCCGGGGAGGACGGCGGCGACAGCGAGGACGAAGACAAGAAGGAGAGCGACGAGGACAAGCTCCTGGGGATCCGGGCCCAGGACGACATGAACAAGGTTCTGTGGAACTGGCACACGTGCAAGCCGGCTTTGGCTCTGAGAAAGGACCAGATCGATGGAGAAAACAAAGGCAAGCTGAACGGAGGCATCAACGGCGCAGCGAACGGCTTCGCAAATGGACACGCCCCTGAGATACAGAAAAAGGAATGGGCGGTGTACTACAGTAAGGTTTGAAGAGCTCAGGAAAAAGGGAAAGACTGACATGCCGGATAGCAGACAACTGCTTCCGTTTCTGAATTAATAAGCCAGTTAGAAAATGAATCATTGCGTTCTGAACCAGATGTATCTTCCGTCTTCTTTTCATTTCAATGTACAGAAAGTCTTGTCAGAATGTAAGCACAACAAAAGACAATAAAAAAACATAAGATTTAATAATCTTTTATTTAAAAAAAGTGTCAGGGGGGTGGGTGTTGACGGGAGGACTCAGTCGCGGAATGAGGGGAACAAGGTTTATTGTACAAACAGGGTGAATGTCCAGACAAAGTACAAAACAAAGCTGTGGCAAACTGTGGGCAAAGTATCAAAGCAAGCAAACAAGACTGTGGAAAAACTATGACAAAGTAACAAAATAAAGATTAACAAGACTATGACAAAACGTGACTATGACTGTGGCTGTGGCAGAACTATAACGAAACAAACCTGGCGTGGGGGTGACGACGGACGAAAGGACAAGAGACAAGGCAAGAAGACAAGAAGACTAGAAGACAAGAACGACCCCGCACCAGACAAGGGGAAACGAGGACTATTTAAACACACGAGGAAGGGGAACCCCAGGTGCACACAATTGGTAATCAGGACATGACGAGACACCAGACGTGACAAAAAGTGCCATTTTAGTCTGTAAGGGGGCTTCTTTGTGCTTTCTGCTACATGTGAAGGGCAACAGCTAATATATGGAAAAAAGCACAGTTGACCAAAAGTTTGACCCAGATACGTGAAATCATTCTGGATCACCTATAAGTAGTATGGATTTATAACAATCAATCTAACTATTTCTTTGTTCAGGAACAAACCTGCTGAGCAAATTCAGAGCGAATCACAGTTTAATCTCAGGCAACTCTGCACCTCTTGATGTCAAAGTTCATGTGATTGCAAACAAAAATAGATGGTACTTATGTAACCTGCATGGGGTCCATGTCAGGGGAACAGAAGCTTTGCTCTCCCAAATTTAAGAAAAAAGGGTCAATTGGAGTGATGTGTTGTACACACAGCGTAGAGATAAGAGAGTCTGCTCACACAGACCAAAGATACTTCTGAGCATACTTACAACTTTGTTATAAGTAGTTTAACACAATTACATAGTGTAGGGTTGCACCACTGCTTTAAGGACTGAGCATCTTGTTATTATTTATGTTTTAATTGCGTCATGACATAAAAAGATATATGCAAAAATGTTAGACCTAAGTAGGTGCAGAGTTGAACCTGTGAATAGAGCTAGCAAAACTGAGTTGACAGTCACTGTTTTCAACCTTGTAAATGATAGCATGCCAAAATTTACATGATTATACCCGGTATATTGGGTCATTATTCTGACCCACAGTGTGTTGTTCAAATAGTACCTTTGAAATGCAAGAAGAGTTGCGGGGCAGTATGAGAATTACCACCCTTTTTACCACTAAAAACACAAATAGGAGCTTAGCTATGGTAAAATTATATGATTTTGCATGTGTTTGGTGGATTAACTTCCTGTGAGACTCACTGGTCCAGGTTGGGGGCTTTATTTTCTCCGTGATGCCTCCTGTTTAAATGATTGTACCCAGTCCTTTGCATCTCAAGCACAAGTACAAACAGTCAGGGGAAGTTTCTTTGCTTCCACTGCTCGTCATGTAATGTGTCGGGTTCCTGAATTCTTTCTCAGTTGCTTCGCTTCTTGGTGTGATTTGAAGTATAAAGCAGGCAAAAGTTCAACTTTCAAACCAATTCAGTTTAACCGTTTTTAATCTTTATTTCACCCTTAAACAAAATGGGAAAAAAAACAACTTTTTGAATACTTATCATTTATTACTGTGCAATAAGTCAAAATTATTGTCATGCAGCCCTCTGCCCTCTGTTATCAGGGATGTCTGATTGTGTACAGCAGAGTAAAGATTTTACCATTAAATCATGCAAAAGGCCTCAGATGCAAAACATTTAAAAGACCGTATATATCAAATATGATACATGTGGTATTTTAGGGTAAAATCACTTGGATTACCTTGTGCTGGATCTTACGATTTACTGTCATCACATTGGAAACGTGAAGCCTGACCTCTAAGCAGTGATGATTTATCATGTCCAGGTCAATTCTGCCTTGCGGCATTCGGCAACTGTTTCACAGTTTGCTGAAGAATCTAATGGATTGGCAGCAGATGTGCTTATGGCCTTTGCTGCTTGTCTTTGTAGCGCTTTCCGTTTTTGTAAATGCTGTTGTGTTAAAAAAAAAAGTGTGTAAACTCATAAAGAGTCATTAATATGAATGCCTCATATGGGTGCACGTGTGATGAACTGACCTGTGAGAAAAAACATATTATATTTTTACTACCAATAGGTGTATAAGCCGTGGAATGAACTTACTTTAGACTTTTCTGATGATAATGCGAGAGTGAAATATAATATATGACATCTTTGTCCAATAAAAGATTGAAAATTGACAATAAACCTTGGTTTTCTGAAGGCCCCTTTAAGACATACTTGTACAGTTACACACAGTTATGTTAACAAACTCTTCTCAAATGCTCCACTCATTTATCACTTCATCCCTAATTTCCTGTGTCGCTTTAAACGTCGTGCTTCATCAATTGTTGTTAAAAAAATACTTGATAGTTGATGAGAGCTGCTGATAGAGGCTGGAAGTGAAAAATGCTGACGGGCCATCACTGATAAGCACCCTGATGGATGTTTGTGTTGTTGTGCAGGGACGTCATAAATACTCCCAAAGCACCCAAAAAGGGAAACACAGCTTTTACAAAAATGGTGAAAGGCTCCAGACTGTGTGTGACGGGACACAACAACAACAGTTCACAATCGGGAATTTGGACTCTGTTGTCATAAAAAAGTCATTCTTATTCTGTCTGGTACAGCTGCTGGTTTTTAAGCAATGGTTAACTTGACCTAAATGTGTTGTGCAAACAACACACGCAACAGAAAGGACTCGGCATGAGAAGGCTGAAAACGGACACCGGGACCACATTTATGCAAAAAAAAACAAAAAGGTGGTGGCAGCTGAAAACATTTACAAGTCCCAGAGAAGACGAAGCCCAACATTTGCATCTGATTTGCCCCGGTCCCTGTTTCGCTCCACCATGTCCCGGCAAAAGCCAATTTCACAAACACTGAGGAATTTCCTTTGTAATTGATTAACATATTCGTGGCTGAACAAAAACATCCCCAGCTCCACAACAGTTGGAAGGCAGACTCCCGAAGGCCCAGCAACCGGTCGAATCAGATTCCAGATGTTTATATCTTGTGGGTAAAGTAGGGTGGGGGGGTAAACATGGCCCTGTCCCAACATTTATGAGGCTCTTTTGCTGTCACCGGACTCTAACACGTCTCCGGTTCAGCGTTTGCTTTTTTTTTTTTATTGTCTTTGTTCTCCGGGAGAAAGAACTTTTGTGGGCTCGGACTCGCATGTTCTGCAAACTTTCTTTCAAACGATGATGAGTGTTGACGCATTGTTGTTTTCCCCCTAAACCGTGATTCACAAGAGAATGTGCTGTTAGCAGAACCACCACCCCTCTAAGGCCGGCCCTGGAGCAACAACACGCGTCACGTCCAGCTCCGGAGCCTCTTTAAGGCCCAGCCGGACACGTAGAGCTTTCAGCTCTGTATTCACGCTCGCGCATCTGTGCCGTCCATCCAGATGTTCCTTGGGATTCGTGAGTAATGTCGTCCCTCAGAGTCAGAGGTGGGGAAGGGTGAGTGAAAATGAAAATGGCACGTATCCCATCCAAGCCTCTCCCTCTCCCTCCCCCCTACTGCTGAGGATTAGTGGAGCAGCACTCCCCTTGACCGTCTCACAGTTTGCCCAGTAGCCCGGCAGCTGTTCTCCTCGCTGAATTGGCAGCCAGGACTGCTGGTTTTGGTTTGTGGGGGTGGGCCACCAGCACGCAGCGCCTTTGTCCAGGCCCGGGGATTTTCCTGTCGGTGTTTCTCACTTTTTTTCCGGTCTTCATCTCAAATAAATGTCCTCTCCGCTTCGTTTTGGTCGTTCCATGTGTTCAAAACGTTGTCATGTTAGATTAAAACCAAACACCGAGAACAATTTGAGAAACATATTCTCTCACAAAGCTGGGATATTAGAGTCTCTGTTTGTGGGCGCGGGGAGGAAATGGTGCGTGTAGGAGCAGCATTTCTTCTTTTCCTGACCTCCATTTCACACAAATGGTTTTGTTTTGGTTGTCAGGACATCAGCCATGCGCATATTGCTGGCCTCCCTTGACTTTGCTGCAAGTGTGTCTCTTGTCTCCCTCTCTCACACACACACACACACACACACGCACACAGGGGGCGTGCGCACACAGACGCACACACACACACACACACACACACACACACGCCGGCCTGATTCGCCGGAGCCTGCCTCGATCTGCCTCGTTTCTGCCTGCAGATTGGAGGAGCGGGGCGGGGAGGGAGGGCCGAGGCGGAGGAGAGTTGCGAGGCAAAACGGGTTGGTCACATGAGCAGAGATCTGTTTACAAACCCAAGGCAGAGCCGAGCAAGGGGAGGAAGGGAAAAGGCAAATTGCAGGCTGGCTCTTTCTCTCTGTGAGCACCATTATGGACTGAGAGGAGGAAGAGGGGGGAAGCCTGCCATGACAAAGCCAGCTGGAGGTGCGAGGGCCTGAATGCGACACACTCAGACACACACACTCCACCTTTGTTTCAGATTTGTTGTTTTGTTTTTTTTTCTCAATCGAAGCAGCAGATGGTTAGAGGGAGAGTAGGATCCCCCCCTACGCACACAGACGCACACTCAATCTCTCACACACGTATCTGCTGATACTGCCACACAAACACACACACACACACACACACACACACCGAGCGAGCAGGGCCAGACCAGAGGACTGTTGTTGACTGCATGGAGCTCTCCTCACTTTGTTTGGGCTTTAAAGGAGGCACATCTTTCCCCTTCAAGACTGAGCAGGAGTATCAACTGCAAGATCAGAGGACTGGAAGAGGAGGAGGAGGAGGAGACATCAGAGGAGACGAGAGGGGTGTGAGACTTGTGAAAATCCCCTGCTAAAAAAGCAGCTTTGGGAGGAAGACAAAGCACAGATTAATATTGGATAATTACCTTCGTTGGGGGAGGACTGTCATCTTAAAGGCTGTGGGTCTTTGGAATTGGTGAGGAGACGACACTGCAGACAGGAAAAGAAGTCAAAGAGGCCATTTTCTCTGGAAATGTAAGTATTTCCTGTTGAAAAGCTGCGAGGGGTTTGTTTACAATGTTGTGATCGAACGAGATAAAGCGTTTCACAACAACAAATGGCTCGTTTGCATGTAGTGTTGCCAGACCTCTGAAGGCAACCGTTTTCTACTCAACAATATTTCCTTTTCTCTTCCTTTATCTGGTGTGATGACATCATTCATGGTGGGACCCAGAAGCACAGGAGAGGTCTCCGGTCCCCGGTCACGACCTCGCTTCCAAATCTTTCATTCTCAACACAGAGTGGTTAATCCAGATTTGGGAATGCTGACCGACTCAGACTGCTGAGCGAACAAAAAACCACACCTCCCGAGGATTTCTTGAATCTGAAAATCTTGTATGACTGTTTCTGCAGGAGCTGTCGTGGCCGAACAAAAGAGTGATCCGGCTCGGTTGGCGGAATACAGCCTACGAAACAGATTTCGGCTTCCACGGCTCCAAGCCCCAGAAGTTTGGCTGGTCTCCAGCCTTCTCCTGACAGGGCCTGAATTCACTGCTGCTGCCTTGGGAGTCAAATTTCATGCAACCATTCCAATGGTGTAACGGTAAGTGAGCGTATTTTGCTGCTGTTTTCGAAGCCAGGGGAGGTGCAGAGACTTTCTTGAACTCAGCTAGTGAGATTCGCACCTTTATTTCAGAGTGGGAACTGAAACTAACGTTTAGAAGAGAGACGTGAGAGCAGGTTAAACATCCTAGAGAGGAAATTCATGTTTATTTATATATTCAATGTTCAACTTTTTCCAGTGTTCAACCTTTAGCGATTTAGATGCATATATATTTCAATAATAATACATATTAAGTTCAAAATACTTGGTTCAAAATTGCACATCTCATAATGCTGTTACTGGTCTTCCCTAAGCTACCCCCAACCCTTGTAAATCCCCCAACCCCACCCCCCAAACTGTCCAACTCATACCCCCCACCGTGTTCAATCTGCACCCATTCACTCAATTTAAAGAGAGCCACATGGACATTTAGGGGCTGGCAAAGAGCATCCTCCCAGCAAATTAATTGGAGCACATGTGGCCCGTGGAAGTGGGCCTTCCTCCTCCATTGTTTCACCAAATGGTCCTGGTCCCCAGAGTTTAATACACTGTCTGTCTGCTCAACGCACCCCCCCCCCCCC